TTGTCAATTCTCCCTTCTAGCTGCTACACATTTCCTTGTAAATTGGTTACAAAAAAATTGGATGTTTTATCAAGGTAATTTTATCTTTTACCTGATGAGTTTCAGTATTCTCACCACCTGTTTGCTGGATAACGTATGGATATTATAGGGAGAAGTTACATGTTAATCACTTCTAAGAGTTAAAGGGTTAATGTATGTCATAAAATTCCTATGATGTTAGTTAGGAGAATTTAGTTTTGGATCAACCAATAATCCCCTAATTCACACTTTTTTCTTTTCCCATTACTTGTCTGCTTAATATCATATTGAAACTGTAAGGAGAAATTCTATCTTGGTCACTCATGGGAGTTTCAGGGTTAACAGGGACTGTGATACTATTCCTCAACTCTCAAACTATTGAACAACATACTTTCTACATTTTTCATGTGACAAATTTAAAATAATTCATGACACCCTAATGGAGCAAATTCAATCTAGTTATCCAGAAGAAGTCTCAGTCACCTTCACCTGTGAAATAATCTTCTCACCCAGCCAAACATCAAATCACTTTAAATACAAGATACACAATTCCTGCAAATTTGGCATGTTATATGGTGTATGCTTGGACCAGCAGAGACAATACCAGAGCAGTGTTTTTCAAAACATTTGCTACATGTGCAAAAGTGCTTGGCTCATCAATTATTTGTATTATTATGATTCTCACCTCCACCTTCCATTTCAACTGCAATTGCTTCAGGATGTTTCCTAATCATATCTCTGTTTGCCTCTGAGATACTCAGAACCACTCCATCACAGTGCACTTTGGCATTATATTCATCAGCATTTTGTAAAGGTGCCTTCCACCCATCAGCCACATGTTTGATCAGGTTACCAATATCTCTGCTGGGGGGAGTTTGGTATACAGCTGTTATCAGCTTTGCTGAAACAACCACATCTCCTAACTTGACCTTTTTGCTATTCAAACCACTGCAGGCACCAACAGAAAAGATAGCCTTGGGTCTCAGTACTGAGATGGCATCTTTTGAAACTGACAAAGCACCCTGAGGAACATCAGGACCTTTGGAGCACCTCATCAATGCAATTTTCATTTTCTTTCCTTGATCATCACCCATGCACCCAAAGTACACAGGGCCAGTGCTGATGTGGTAACTCTTAAAGGGTTCCTTCAGGTAGGCAAAACAACTTAAGAACTCACAGTCCTCCACTGCTAATAAAACAATATCAACAGGAAGTTCAACAGTTTCCCAAGAAGAAGAGATTGCTGGAAGATCACACAACTTTGGAAGTTTCACACTGAGCTCTGGTGGGCTGCCATTGCCATTCTCTGCTGATGTATTTTCCCCTGGCATTAATACTGTCTCTGAAAAAGAAGGTTGTAGTTTTTGTATGTGAAAGTTACTTCAATTACTGAAATAAAAATCAAAAGATAAAAAAGATGAAGACAAAAGCAAATTATGGATGTAACAGTTGACTTAGCTTAAGGTAATAAAGATTCACAACTTCAATAATGCATAATTGTGACTTTTAAAAAAAATCTGCTGGAAATTCATTTCATCTAACAATCCAGTATGACTTCATTATTGACTCAACAAATTTAAGTTAATTTAAAACTCAGGTTTGAAAAAAGAATAACACACACCTCTCTCCCATGAATTTTGTTCAGAAATGTCAAAGGAATTCTCCATGTCCCCTCCCTTCCTGGCCTTTTTCACAATTTTGTCTTCATGCACTTTGTCTGTGATACGGTCATCATCTTTCAACCACTCTCTCAGAAGCTCTTGGTAGTGTTCTTCAAGATCAGCATCCATACAGTGGAGTGTAGGATCATCTATGACTTCCTCATAGCAGGTCCCTCCAATACGCAGAAAAGTGTCTTTGATATTGTTCCAGTACAAACTAAAGGTTGGATCATCAACTGAAGCATTAGCAGCATGACTGAAAACTCTGTCCCTGAAAAACTTGATGCGAGTGATGTCAGCTTCTGGAGAGGTGTCTGATCCTGGAGGAAGGTTATTCCGGCCAGAGGCAGGGAAATTCAGACCAAAGATATTCCTCAGAAGAAATAGCAGTAAGGAGGTGTCAAAGTTCCCTGAGGAAACTGATGTTTTGGAGACAGGATACAGTTTCCCCCACTGGAAGGTACTCAGGACTCTCTTCTTTCGCAATGTTTGTAGTTTGGCATGGTTTGTGGGATTAGTCAGAACTGCATGAAGGTTTTCTGGTGGACATACCCGGTCAAAGATCTCCCTTAGCATAAGTGATCCAACTTCAACAAGAAGGCGACAGAGCTGGGCATAATTAGAGGTCTCCTTGGTAGAAGGTTGTGATGGGGTGGCAGAAGCCATGAAATCAAGTCCTCTGTAAAGAAATGCTTGTAATTAATACATGGAAGGCGACATTTATAGAGCACACACAAAAATTATTACTTTATTCTAACTTTGCAACACCAGAATATTACAGCACTCAAACAATGAGTTAAATATCATGCAACAGATCAATAAAATAAGTTTGCTGCATCTTCCATTTTAACCCTTTAACCTCTAAGAGCTGTGATTGGCTTCTAATTTCTCCTTACAGTATCATCCTTGAATCAAATGTATGAGTCACAAGAATAAAGGAGATCATCAAAAATTTAAAAAGTTCCTGATTCTCACCTCACACTTTATCTATTTTCTCATATTCAATATACAAAATATTCCTTCAACTTGCAGATAGCAGATGCAAATCCTGGCTGGTCAAATTTTTACTTAAGATTGCTGTCAACAAAATAGGCTGCCTTCTGGAAAAATCTTCCTACTTGTGCTACTACTAATTAAGGAAACTGTTATTAACAGAGATCTTCAGTAGATCATGGCTAGTTTAATCAAAGATGAAGTGAAAAGGTACAGGGAAAACTTACATGCACAATATTTGATATCTGTTTATTTGACGATAAAGATGTGATCAGATTACAACAGAAAAAAATACATCACAGTAAAGCTTATAAAGTACAGATTATGGAAATAACATTTTTCACAGTTTTTGTTTTGGTATGTGCATGTAAGCATTTAAATGCAACATTGATAGTGTTTGCTTCACTGAATTACCAGCCTCTGTGTTACCCCAGACCTTGAAACAAACTGTACAGTATCACTCAGCAGATAATAGGCTAACAAAGTGTGTCAGGCAATTTTGAGATTCTTATTGTTTCCTGAGAAAATACATTGTGAAGTTGGACAATAGAAAATATTTCTGTTGTTTTCAAACTCCAATGAATTATGAGAGAAATATTTAGAATTTCTTTGAAACCTCATGTACTTTTGTGTGATAATTACCAATGGACATACAAGCCAATTTTCACAAAAGTCCAACAAATCTACATATCCTATTAATGTACAGGTAACTTGTATAATAACAAACTTCTAGTTTTTGGCCACCAAAGAAATTCACAGTTTCCCATCTCCTTTTAGAAAGCAAATGTCAAATGATCAATGAGACACAATGTGGAATCCTGTGGCAATTAAGCCTTAACTGACAAAGAACTCCAATGAAATTTGCTGGAAAGGTCATTTCATGAAACAGGAACATGAGTTAAACATAATCCAAAAGTCACCAAGCAAGCTCTGGAAAATGAACAACTTAACTTCAATTTCTTTGGCTTGAGCTCTCTCCCTCTTATTAGTGAACTCTTTTAGGCTCTCATTACTCAATGTTTTGCAAAATGGGCCAGAGATTCCCAGTGAATGTGCAGTGCAAGATGTGATGAAAACAACATATGCAAATTGGGATCCTGGATGAAAGCCTGCAGAAAACGTCAACACTCTGTCTGAGGCATTTCCCATGATGACACCTTTCACTCTTCATACAGGCTTATACTAAAACATCCTTTCAGCTGTATCTCACCTTCTTTTTAAGATTTTTTTTGTAAATAAACCATTTAAGTAGTTAAAACTAATTTCTCTAAAAAATAAAATTTTGAGCAGATTTTGTTGACAGTAAAATTAATATGACAATAATACATTTAAAAAAACATTAAAAGATACACAAGAAAAGAAAATGGAAAATGAAAGACATTCATTGTAAAAGATAAAAAGTCCTTGAGTATCTAAGTGCACAATAAAAATATTGTTTCAACTGCAAGTACAATTTGTTTCAATTTTGCAGTGTTTGAATTTATATAACACATTATCTCATCAGGCTTGAAATAAGAATCTTCAGTCTCTAGAATATTGAGAAAGCTTTCTTGTTTCTTTTTTGAAGGATTTCTTCGACAAAACTTTCTATTGATATTTAGCATCTCATTCCAGATTTTGAAACCTGAAGCACTTGTGACATTGATGAGCAGTGGTAGTAAATGGGTATAATTGTTTAATGTTCCCATAAAAAATTTTATGATGTTAGAAAGTGCACTAATAAGCTCTGTTGTTATCAATATTCAGCATTAATTTATATACAGCTTCATAATATTAGATGGTAATAGGTAGAATTTTTGCATTTATAAATAAAGGGATAGCATGTTCTTTTCAATCAGCAGAGCAAATTAAACACAATACGCACTTTTGGAGAACAACAAATTTGTTTACTTAATATATATTTTAGATGTATTGCCCCAAGCAGCAAGTCTAATATAGATATATTAGGTAAAAATAAGGATTTACAGATATTTATGACAACAGAAGATGTAATAACGCATATCAACTTAGCAATCATTTGTATGTTCCTACTCATTTTGGTGATAACACAGTCAACATGGTTTTTCCAAGAAAGATTTTCATCAATTAAAACACTAATTAAATAATTGTTGCATTTGTAGCTGTAATGTTCTAAACTGACTCTTCCATTTACTTCACAATCAAATATACTTCTTTGACAAATTCTCCTTGTCTGTTCCATAGGAAATGTAAAGAGAACAGTGTGGAGAATATGAATACCAATGTCTTAGGGTGTTAAGGGTTAAAAGTCAAATGGAGTAGGGGGAACACACACAATTACACAACACTCACACTACACTACTTTACTACCTTCAAGACTGAGATTATCACCTGCATATTAGCCTTCAAATGGGATGCAACAGGCATCACCATCCTTAGGGAGAATGGGGGCATACTCCCCCCCCCCCCAAAATTGTGAAAACAAGTATGAAGTTGCTATGGCAACATTAGTATAAGCAAACATTTCCACTGCTGGAAAGACTTTTAAGCAAGTTTGAAGGGAACAAGGAGTAAATTATACTTAAAAGGATAATAAATAAAACTCCCAAAAGTGATAAATGAGTAGCTCCTCCCTATAATATAAAACAGGTCATGAGAATAGTCATACTTATCAGGTCAAAGTTGTTATCTCGATCTAACAACAAATTCTTGTAACTTATTAGCAAAGAAATGTGTAGCAGCTGGAGGGGAGAATTGAAACTCAGATCTTGGGAGCTAAAGGGTTTACAAAAGCAGCAGTTTGCTATAAGAAACAATAGTTTCAGCTTGAGAACATAATATTAAAATTGTTTGCATGAGGTCTCACGCTCCATGTGAAAGACTTGACAACTTGGACTGGGGCTTTTAAGAGGGGCGGCTTATAAGCAGCAGTTTTCAGTATTTCTGGAGTAGAGGGACATGTATCAGTTGTTCCTTAGGCTCAAAATGAAGGAATGTATCAAATTAAATTCGCAACAAGCCAGGAGTAAACTAGAAAATTGACTTTGTACTATTTGAAAACACCTTTCCAATTTGGAGGCCCAAATGAATTAGGCCACTATTACAAATAAGCAATTGGTTGGCAAATACAGAGATGTCTTCAACAAACATGCAGAAGGTGCTGACCGAAGCACTACAGTACCGCTCGCGACTGCACGTCAACTGCGCAGACGAATTTCAACTGCGCAGACGAATTTCACACGCTCAGACGCAGGGTAGTCAGACGCGTATATAGGATTTTTTTTACTTTATAATAATAACTTCATTTGCCTAAATTATAAGATAATAATAATAATAATATAAAAAAAGCAGAGATAATAATTAAAACATATATACAGACAGATAAAAAATAAAAATAACATCGAAATGCAAAATGGCAAAAAGGGTCAAGCCAGAGAGGAACTAAATCCTCATTAACGGCACGGTCGGAAAAAATGCACAACTCATGTGCCTTTGTAATTCAGTGCTACAAGTTTCCTTTATATTACATTACTATGTGAAACATAGAAACGCGGCGAGTGGAGAACGGAAAATTTACATAGAGAAAAAAGCCATCATGCTACACTCACGCATGTCGCGTCGCTTCGCGAATTTAGCAGTAGATTTGCTGGATTTGAGTTGTTGATGAATCAGTTGGGAAAGAGAATGTCTATTACTCATGGCATCGAAACACGTGTTTCATTGAGCAAGTAACGAAACAAATACTCCGTAATTAATGCTTCCCAATTAATTCATGGCAATCAACACTCCCCAAGATGTTTACGTCGCGGAATCAAAACAATTTGGTCTTTGCATGGTAAAATTTCCGCACAGTTCCATACTACATTATGCATTCAGTTCTTGGATAGAGAGAACAATGACAACCACGTTACATTGCCATTGGAAAAACAGATTTGTTTTACAATAGTATGGGGCTGACGAATTCTTCGAAACTTCGAACCTGCCTCGATCACCTTCGATGAGGATCAGAAGGAAAATATACTGGTTACGATTGTGAATGATTTTCTGTTTTATTTATTGCAACACGCGCCCGCTTCAGTGTTTACGCATCGGAATGTAAACAGTTTGATTTTACATCGCTCGTGATGATTTGTTTGATTGCGGAGCGCATCGGATTACTACGATGAAAGGTCAAGTTAAAAGACGAAAATTCATCTGAAATCGAAAACGCTTCAACAGACTACTGTCCATTATCATATTGTGCAAGCGCCTATCAATAATGTCAAGATCTTTCAAAACAGACTCTAAAATCTGACATCAACCCATGTCCACGAATTTCAAACATTTGTCTCTTAGAACGCATATTTCATACCTCGTAGCCGAGCGAATCCAGCCAAATTCCACAAAGTAATAACAAATAAGTGAATCAGTTAACATAAAAAACTACCGATAGTGATATCAAGAGTAATTATGAGCTCCAATTCGTAAGATACGAGCATCTCTTAAACAAACAGGAAGTGTCGACCGAAGCACTAAGCTACGAGGGTTAAGACATTAGTCCCTCTCTATTGATAACATGAATCAAGTGAAAAGTATGCATACGGTACACAAATGACTTTACCTTGGCTAGAATCGTCCGCTAAGAAACGTCAAACAAGTCTTTCGAAATAGAGATCAACCGCATCCTATCCGCTCCTAAGCCATGTTGGAAACTTTGGTACGAACGCTATTCGGGGTTTTGCCTAAACCTGTTTGAGAGAAGAATAACCGAGGAAGACTAGAGACGAGTTTCCGGGTGGTGCACTTCTCTTTATGGCGGACTATTCAATATTAGGGAACTTAAGCGAACCACGACGGCGACGGCAACGTAGACATGGAAAAACAAAAGATCTAATTGGCAGGACAATAGCTCAGCACGTGCGCTTTAAAACCCCTAATATCAACAGTCATGCAACGTTGCCGAACAAGACACGCACCTTCAGGGCGTGAAATTAATTTTTTTTCCCGATAGCCACTTTGCTCCTTAATTCTTCAAAGTGGTAGCCAAGTGGAAAAAAGTTGGTCGCCATTTTCAAAGACAAACAAAACCTTTTTTTAAGCTGTCGGCGTTCTAGATAGACCCTCCAAAATTAAATTTGGGAAAAGATCTTTAACGTGCTACAAAGTGGACACTAGGATGGACGATATATCATTCCATTCAATGACTGAATACTTCTTATGCGTTCAAATTTCCCTTGCTTTGACTCGAAGGCTCTTTTGTAAGGCTCCATAGGATGTCCCCACAGCTATGCCTTGAAGAGTTTGGAAATTTGAATGAGACGAAGATTCTTCTCTGCATAATTACCTGATTAGAACTCAAAACATTATTTTACCTCGCTGATGAGATGAACAAAGAATGACGAGAAAACGTAATATTTTTGATTTGACGTAAACTTCGTACCAAGTCAATCTCTTGACTAAGCCTCAGTCACACACTTTAAGGTGAACGATAGTTACAATACTTAGACCCTTCTGTTAACTGATGAATCGAATTTTGTCTGTCTCTACAGACTGCCTGCTATCCGGCTCGCGGAAATTGTTCTGATCCCAAAGATGGATAAAGCTGTCGAATAGCGCCCAGTTATGACACAGTTTTCCGGTTCGTTTCACAGCTACATGCTTTTCACTTATGAGGGAAAACGTCGACAAGATCAGTGAGTGGATGGACAAAAAGGAAAAATAAATAGTGGCAGCAAACAATATACAACGTAGAGAACATGTGGGTACGGTTCTCACAGACACAGTCAATTTTGTTGCAGCATTTGACATATTTGAGAATGGAAACCTTTCTGAAATACCTCTTTTGAAGACTATGAACTGTTGCTGGGTTGTGTGGTGGACCTTACAGAGCAGCAATAGTGGCATTGTGCAATGTGATTTAGGTGACTGTCTCAGCAAACACTGGATGATCCTGACTTCTGGAATGACTGCGCGTAGCTGTTTCTAGACGATCTCTCACAACGATTTTAAAAACCGCTGCAATTCAAGTACGAGGAAAACCTTTCAAAAGATTCTGACGTGGATGATTTTATGAGAGCCTTGTTGTTGTTCTGCCAGGCACATACTTGCTACTTGACGTTCTTAATGGAAGTAAACAGAAGATTCGAAGACCTTAGCGACAGAATCCTTGAGAAAAGAAAGGGTGCAGCGAAATATTGAAGATCAAATAAAGACGAGTTGGCTTTTCTGTCAGATAAAAAATACAAAGCATTCTGTGCACGGCTTCCATCATCCGGTGGCAAGTCAACAAAGATCTTGATCCAGAAACCCGAAAGGGATGGATAGAGGTGAGGGGGACAGGCGCAGCTTAAACCTGTCTCCAATGTCTTCAAATAATGTCGTTCAGAATACAGCTATGACACTTTCAAAGCGGCGTGTCCGTCTTAATTTTGAGAAATACGATTTTCCTCTATATGGTGTGGAGTTTATCATAACTGAGTACAAACTTGCCTCTGAAAATCATGTCATCAGAAGCAGGCAGTAACAAGGACAGTTTTTAATTCGACAAAGATCTTTTAGCTTCTGAATCTCTCAAACAAAGTATCCCATTTTTTTTTTTGTTCTCCACTTGCGGATTTACAATCCTTTATAATGACAGAGAGTTGAGATTAAGAACCAAGAGTCATGTGAGACTAATCGAAATCGCTGTACCTAATCTTTAAGTTAACAAAATGTTTTCATATAAAGCTCTTTCACTCCCACGATATCGATATTAATTTTCCTCACTCTCTGTCATACGTTGCCTATGGCGTCAGTTCTGAGAATTTAGTGTTAAATCAAACAATATCCCCCAGTTGATTTTTTCCTGATTCTCATTACCTGTCTGCTTAACAATGTAATGATATTGCAAGGAGAAATTACTTATTGGTCACTCCTGGGAGTGAAAGGGATATTCACAATTATTTATTCATCACTTCTCGGGTTTATTTGGAACCAACATAACAACCAGCTCCCAGTTGGCTTGTCAGCTCAGTTGGTAGAACACTGCACCGGTACCGCAGAGGTCATGGGTTCAAATCCTGTACAGGCCTGAGTTTTTTGAAGCCTTATTTTCACTACTGCTCAAGTATTGTTCATTACTGCAAAGATCGCTTTCATATTCACTTCTTTATCCGCAGTTCACATGGATGATTTTCGTATATATTCACAGTTATTCAAAAATTAACATTGAAGACAAAAATGATTAACAATTCACAAAGGGTTTAGATACCTACAACACAATGTGTGATGATGATCGAAAGGAAATCTTACGGGAGGAAAACGTGGAGCAATACACCGGAGCTGTAGATCTCCGACTTACTCGGATAGAAATGCCGAGTCCTCCATCAAGATCTAATCACATTCTTACCTGGCGCTTTTTGATCCGGGAACTCAAATCTGATACAGATGTTGAAACTGACATGATCAACTCATGCGACTGATTTTAGAAATGAAGATAAAGTTTTCTCTTTTCAGTGATCAAAATGGCAGTTCGTTAAGCCTCAATAATGTTTTGATTTAAGAAATTTTTCCATCGCTGAAACATTACTCCAGGCTAGAAATTAAGGGATGGCCATCTCACAATCTACAATGAATATGCATTATCATATCGACGGTTTACGAAGAACAATTACGAAAAATAATTCGCTAATTCATATGAATAGGGGTTCTAAAGAAACTGTGGTGCTGCGTTTGTAGGGGAGTATAACAAAATAATTTTGGTTTAACAAACTGAGTTGATAAAGTATATTGGCCACCGTAGAGTTTCGAAACTGACGTTTCAAGCGTTAGCCCTTTGTGAGGGCGAATGGAAGAATTGTGGGTTGTGTGTGTGTTTATATGCTGAAAAATGGAGCTACGCTATTGGTGGGAATGTAGTGACGAGAAAACAAGAATAAATATGTTGAATGAAGAGCGTTCGTTGATACCGTTCGGATTAAGAGTGCCGATTTGAAAGAGAAATTTTTGTTCAAGAGTTTTGCAGCTTTCCGAACTGCATAGATGTAAGGAAACGCCGCAGAGTGCCATGTGCTGCATAGAATGACAAGAGAGATTAAAGTGTATGGAAACTGGTTTGCATGCGTCCTTGTCATTACTTTCTAAGTCGCGAAGGTGTTCTCGGAGTAAGTCACCTAGTCATCTTTCTGTTTCACCAATTTATCTCTTTTTGCAATAAGTGCACGTTCTACAATAGATAACATTAGCGGGGGTGCACGTGAAATGATCAGTAATCTTAATGGATCGTTTGGCTCCCGAGATAATTTTTGTGTCTGCCAACATTTATTAGTATACTGCTGCCAGTGTTTTTAGGCTATGAAATGAAATCATTAAAAAAAACAGGGCCAGCAATCACTTCAGTTCACGATCAAAAGCGATATTGCATTTGGCTGATTTATAATTCTCTTTTCATAAGGTAGTGACGAGAGGTGGGTGGTTGGAGAGGGAAAGGGGGGTGGGGTGGGAGGAGAATAAAATGACAATGCTATTTCTTTTCATATAAGAAGTATGAATGGCACCTCTAACAGAAGAACTTGACAGGTGGGAGGGGAGGCATGAAAGTAGTGGGGAGGGGGTTGGGGAGAGGAGAATCAAACAGAGAATGCTTTTTCTTTTTGTATAAGAAGTATGAATGGCATCTCTAACAGAAGAACTTGTCAGGTGGGAGGGGAGGCACAGTGTGCTATACTTTTGTTTAAATGATAAAACATTATCATTTCCTGGTATCTAGACGCCAAACCTTATTTAGAAAATTGCCATCAAACTTACCCTCGTTTGATTTTCGTTCGGCCACCTTAACCTCGGACGTCATCAGTATAACTGTAGTGTACTGGAAATACCTTGCATTTGACGACTTGTTTTAGGTTTGCATAGAAACGAACATGGTTTAGCCATAACTAAATCTGAGGTGTAATTCAAATCATCCAACTATAAACCTTATAACAATTCCCTTTGGTTCGAATTTTGCGTTGATAGAATGAACTACTTGAGATCGAGGTTCGTCGACATGACATGATTTGCGCGCTCAATTGGACACGCATATCATCTGTAGACAGTCTAGACATGCTGTGATACTTTATACGCTTCAAACAGACAACCCTTTTTGTTTATTTTACTCAATAATTTACCTTTACACCCTAATATCAGTATGCATATTCTCCATGCTGCTCTCTATACATTTTTCAAGGTGCTGATAAGGAGAATTTGTTTAACAATCAAGAGTTTTTTAAATGATGATCACTTCCTTTATTCTCATGACCTTAGTGTTTGATTCATAGGTGATATTGTAAGGAGAAATTTGATGCTAATCACTCCAAGGGGTTAAAGGGTTAAGGTTTCTTTTCCAAAATCCCCACCTCCCACCCCAAGGGATCGAACTCTCATCTTAGAAGAGCAGTGTTACTCGTATACATTATCGTGTTGCATAGGAGCGCAGAATCCGAGGGAGGAGTTATCCGGAGGAAGTAGGATTTATTAGAATGGAAGGGATGAAATTATTGCCTTGTCTTGTAGTATTTCCATTAAACCCTTACCGTGTATAACTTCTAAAATGCTGTTGTGTAATTAAAGTGAAGGAAGTTGTGCTCTAACAACAGAATATTTTAAAGACCTTCTGACAAGTAACAATTGGGGGATCAGGATATATTTGCACCAGGTTATTGTTGTCTGAAATAAGGTGCCAGTGTTTCATAAGAATCTTTTTGACATTCTGGTTA